TGCCTCCTGTTGAAGGCAGGGATGGATGAGAGGAGCAAAGGGAGATACACAGATCTGAAGCAGTGCATTATATGCAGAAACAGGTATGAAAAATAGGATATATATTATATAGAATTAGTGACTATGTTTGTGACAAAAATTGCTTTTAAGTGGGACAAACTCCCTTTGTGGGCTCCTACTTTCAACATGTACAAATATTAAAACAAAATACTTATTTGGAATATTGAGGGTAGCTGCTAGAAAAGCAATTACAAAGAAATGGCCTAAGCCAGATGCCCCATCTATAAGGTACTGGTATGATATTATTTATGAAATCTGTGGAATGGAAAAAATAACCTTTTCAATGAGGTTTCAGGAAATTAAATTTGATAACATATGGAAGAAGTGGAAAATGTATATTTGCCACCCTTCTTTTGATTACATTTGTTAACTTATTATAATTATTACTATTTATTTATCTCAACAAACTGTACTATTAAATGATAGCAAAAACAGGAAGAAAAAAAGGAAAAATTAGGATATGTACAGATATGTCAGGAGAAAAACATTCTTTGCCATATCGTAAACCATTATACAATATTCTCTTTTGTGCTTCTTCCAATATTCCACTTACACTGTGTAAAATATTCAAACCCATGTTGTAATTAGACCTAGAATTAGACCAATAAATCTTTATCATATTGGACAGTATTAGCTTGTTGCATTTGTATCTGTATTGATGTTTGTTGGCCGATAAGTAACAGGACATTTTAGTACATATACCAAACTAGGTATTAGTATGCACCTTGGTAATAATTCTTTAAAAAAAAAAAAAAAAAAAAAAAGCAAAACTGAAGGGATCTGGATTATGAAGGATTATTGCAGTATATGTGTATGTAACAAAAATAAATGTTCAATGTGTCCAATGTTATTGGATTTTTTTTTTTACTAAAAAATATTTAGAACAGTAATGGCCTCAAACATCAATATTTGTTAGGCTCATTTTAATAGTCAAATGAAAGACAAATGAAATGCAAATGCTATTGATAGGTGATACTCAATTTATGGCCCGTGATAGAAAATCAATTGATTTGTTTTTTATACTTACATTTTAAATTATGCACCAGGGTGCACAAAAAGCATCAACAATTTTTGCTAATTTTAAACAAAAAAAAATAAATGAAAAAATACTTAAGAAAGGGTCGAATCCCCTAGACCTCCCCAACAGAGGTCAGTGCCGAGCTTAGTGCTGAATGTCCTTTCTTCCTGTCCTTTTGCAAAAGTGCCCCCTGGGCAAAGCAAGTTGAGTATCCCTGCTACAGATAGTATCCATTTTCATATAATTCTGTATGATTTATGATTTATTTACTCATGTATTTTCCTCTCAAATTTATCTACTATATTTACTTCCTCTTCTTTATTTACTTCTTCCCTTACCTGAACAGTGGTTGCACAATCAAAAACAGACATCTGATGCATGGCTTTCAGACGTTTGATGTTTTGCTCTGAGCTAATAGTCCAGCCGATCTGAAAAAACAAACAAAACAAAGCAAAACCCCCCATCACAACAAGTTGTAGTGAACCAAATTATGACCTTGTTTCTCAGTGTGTGCATTACCTTCCAGCCAGTAGCACTGAAGGTCTTTCCTGCACTGCCAATAGTGATGGTTCGTTCCCACATGCCAGGAAGGCTGGCTGCCATTATATACATTAATACATTAATATATTAATATCTTTATATAATGTGATGTTATAATTTGTGAGCACTCTGTTCAGCTCACCTATCTTAACATGCTTGTTTCCATCATAAGTCAGCCACTCGTACACCTCATCACTGATGCACAGCGCATCATGTTTGATACACAGATCAGCAATCATTTGCAGCTCTTCAGTCTTGTAAACCTGTAAAGGACATAAATGTGTGAAATGTATTTATGACAATGATGACTTTATGACGTATTTATGACAACGTCGACTGCAATGTCTTACCTTGCCCAGTGGGTTATTGGGAGTGTTGATAACGATGGCTTTTGTGCGTGGAGTGAATTTACTGGCCAGTTCCTCAGCAGAAAGAACCCAGTCTGCACTTGACAGGACGGTGCTTCCCTCAACTTTCTTAAATTTAACAAAGAAAATTAAAATCCTTTAAGATAGATGTATACATTTAAAGAGATGTCAAAGGCTGTCAGGAGATGCTTTATAACTCACTGGCCTCAGAGGTACATAGACTGCCGTCCCCCCGGCCATCTTCACCATTGGCTGATAGCAGTCGAAGAATGGCTCAATAATTATGACCTGAAAGACAAATGTTTCCCATTTTTCTTAGCTTGTGACCTGCGTTTGGTACCATTTCTGTAAGTTTTATTATGTAGAAAGTAAAACTAGGAGAATTTAAACAAAGTAAAACTCCATATTTCCCATTTAGAACTAGAAGAGTAAACTACACAAAAGACTAAAATATAACTTAATTTATTGCCCATTATAAAGTAATATAGTATGTCACCAAATATTAATTCTTTATCCGTCTTCACACAATAAACACGAGGGTTATAATAATGACTCTTCTATTACAAAGTATAGAGCATCTGTAAATAATTTAAGTTTAAAAAAAAACTGTGTTGGGTTGATTTCTGTACCTCATCCCCTTTATCAATCAGAGCCTGAAATGCACAGAAGAGAGCCTGATAAGCTCCAACTGTGACCATGATGTCTTCAAGAGGGTCAATCTCACGTCCCACAATCCTACCGAAGAACTTAGCAAGACTTTTCACCAGAGGGAGATGGCCCTGAGGAGGGGAAGGAAATGTAAGGTGACTCTTACAGTTTGTTCTGTATCTGTGTGTCTCATTAAAACTTGCTGAAAATGACTGAAATTGACACAGAAGGATAAAACTGGGACCAAGTGTGTGTTTCCACTTACAAAAGGTCGGGTATACTGGTGCATTTGGGGTCCTCCACTCACAGCTTCACTAAATGCATCCTGGATAAACTTGGGAGGGGAGAAGTCAGGAAATCCCTGTCCAAGGTTCACTGCTTTGTAGTCTGCTGCCAGCTGTGCGAATTCAACCCTGTTGGTGCAACACTGCTTGTCAGGCACTATGATGATATTCTCAAAATTATCTGTAAAGGTTAACAGTAGAAGAAGCATAAACAGGTGCAGCTGGGGTTGCAGCACTGATGATGTAGTCCCTGTTGGGGACGCATTAATGTTTACACTACAATGTGGTCCAGTGCATCCCAGATCACTTCGGCATGAGGTTTGAGTGTTCGGATCACAGTGTGTCTTCGTGGTTATGTACACTTACACTTATATTTTGCGCTTCACACTTCTGATCGGATCACTCAACACACATGTTAATAGCAGTTATAAACAGGGACATAATGTTCATAGTTATTAATGCTGCATTTGTATGAAAGTTTAACAGTTGCTTTCTGATTTTGAAAGAATTAATCAACAAATAAATAAAGCTTAGAAAACTGAGGGATCATGTTGCTGTTCGAGGACAAAGTTCAGGACTAATGAGCAGCAGCTGAGGAAGGCATGATCAATACATCCAGCAGGAGAGGAAGCCACTCGATAGGCTCAGCTTAGGATACCAAAATCCTTCAGTCTGCTATCACCACAGTTGTTTGTTTCGCTTCCTTTTCGTCTGAATGATTAAAAACACAATGAATACTCCACTACAACAAACTGTCCACTGACAGGCTGATTGAACTGTACTGGCGTCAACAAACTCACACGAGCTCAGGTGTCAAAAGTCCACCTGTGTCATTACCACTTACCACACACTGTTGTCCACACTGTCTGTTCTGCGAGCATAAAGTCGTCGGGACATGTTTATCTGAAATGAAAGCACATTTCAAGCACGCTCAAAGCTGCAGTTATTATAGAAATGTCTCTTCAGTGCTGCTGCTGTACTCACCTGTTGATGGTTTCTAATAGAACACACTTCACTCAGATTTACTGCAACATTCAGTCTCCTCCACCCCTCCTTCCCACGACCTTTCAACCTTCTGTATCTTTATATGGCAGCACTTTTGTTTCCCTGCAAGAGTCCTGAGATGTTTAAAACGTCAGAGTGGTCACACAATGCATAAGAGGCAGCAATGACATTGCAATATACATATTTACAGTCTCTACAGCTTTCATTTTTGTGCAAGATTTGACAGTGTTATTGCTCAGATTGGTCATGAAAGATAAAAACAAAATAGACTTTTTATCTTCAATGTCTCTACCCTTAAAGGGACAGTTCATCCCAAAATCAAAAATACATATTTTTCCTCTTATCTGTAGTGTTATTTAGTAATCTAGATTGTTCTGGTGTGAGTTGCTGAGTGTTGGAGATATTGTCCATAGAGATGTCTGCCTTCTCGCCAATATAATGGAACTAAATGGCACTCAGCTTGTGGTGCTCAAAGTGCCATAAAAAACATATGAAAAACTCAACAGCAATGTCTCTTTTCAGAGGTCCTAACCCTGCCTGAACCATTAAAGCTAAGCAAAGGAGGACGCAAATAATACATATTGTGCGGTCATGAGCACAAGCCTCTTGTCCATGAGTAGATGCATGCTTCCTTCTGTGCAGTGATACGGTTGGTGGGTGTAGTTCAGTAGAAAGAAAATAGTTCCAACATGAAACTGCTCAAAACAAAGTCTGTGGATTATCTTGAGTAATCAGGTCATGATTTCTGGAAAGAGACATTGCTGTTGAGTTTTTAAAATATATTATTTGGCGCTTCAAGCACCACAAGCCATCTAGTTCCATTATATTGGAGAGAAGGCAGACATCTCATATTGCTGCAATGCTTCAAACCTCAAATTTACCTGGAAATAAGACCCTAATTGACTGTATGTCTATATTACTATTACGCTGATGTTATTTCTGTTTCATACTGTTTATGTGGACATCCATGGGCTGTAATAAACACTTATTACAAGGCATGAGCCCGTGAAGCTATACAGCTGAGTAAAGACACACTGAGACATGGAATGTGTGCATTTATTAAAAGCTTTATTAAACTTTTTGTTAGTTTGATTCAGGAGAAATATATCTGCAGTTAAATTGTGCAATACAGTTAGAGGACATCATACAAGAAAACAAAAAACAAAACAAAAAACATATCCTTTAAAATTACTGCAACATAATCATAACATTGATATTTTTTTCCTTTCAGAGTTAAGCGCTTAAGAATCATTGCATACAAGATTGTTTTCACAACAGCAGTAGGACAAACTGAGTGGACAAAGTGGACGTTGTCTTCAAGTTCCTGACTGTGCCTGGGGTGTCAGTAGCGTAGTGGATAGTGCCGGCGCCCCATGTATAGAGGTGATGCCTCGCTGCAGTGGTCACAGGTTCGACTCTCGGCTTGCAACCCTTTGCTGCATGTCATCCCCCACTCTCTCTCTGTCACCCCATTCAACTCTGTCCTGTTCATTAAAAGCAAAAAGTACCTGATTGTGTCATAAGCACACACTGAAACACTGAATATGGCTCATTTTAACAGAGGAGGCAACCCAGAGAGCAGCCTGGAGAGGTCTTTATGGACGGGTAATACTTTGCATCGTGGTCGGTTTTACTGTTCCTGACTCCACTTTCTCAAGATGTCCTCTGCTGCGTTCAAGGTGGAGTCCTCCTGTTAGACAAAGAGAGTGAGTGTGAGTCAAAGAGCGAGGCAGGAGAGGGGTCAAATTTATTTCAGTTACTGAGGCTGAATTCACCTTAACGAAACAGAATCGGATGTATTTGTTAAACTCCTTGCTGTGCTCTGGACTGTAGAATGCAGAGACGGGGATTGTTGCTAAACCCTGAAGAAAAAAAAAGCCAATTCATACAGTTAAAAGACAGAAAAGTCAGGAGCATGATGTTCTAAATACAACAGACCAAGATTAAAAATTGCAGAAAACACTAATCAAATCACTTCTTCTTCTCTTCAAAACAAACTAAAACACTTGCTTTAAAAGGGATTTGTTTAGCTGTCTTAAATAAAAATGAAATGTTATTTACCTTTTCTTTAATTAGCCACTTAACAAATCTAAAGTCATTGGGTTCATCCTTAGTGGTCTGGTCACTGATGTCCACCTCTGTTAGAAAAGAAAGCCCAGGTACATATAAATAAGACAGTGCTTATCAAAGTAAAAAGGTTTTTGAATTATTTTATGATAAGCTATGATGGATACAGGTGTTTGCTCTTTACTCACTGACAGAGGAGATGTCTGCCATCATGTAATAGCCTCCCTCTGGCATGATGGGCTGCAAACCCACACTCTCCAGGCACGAGGCCAGCTTCGCTCTCTTCTGGTGCAACAATGCAGGCAGCTGCTGGAAGTAACTCTCTGGAGTCCCAAACAGCTCGTATTCTCTCTCAAATCCACGAGCGACTGCCTCCTGTTGAAGGCAGGGATGGATGAGAGGAGCAAAACGGGAAATAAATAAGTTTGAGATGTTTGACTTATGTTCAAATAATCAGGGCATATGTGGATTTAATACAACAAACAAAACATAACTATCCTCAACATTTTCTGAACATTTCCATACTGCAGGAAAGTTGTTGGTCAAGTAGTTAAAATCTTTCATCTAGAATTAATCTTCAGCAAATCAGAAGCAAATAAGCCTATTTCCAAAATGTCAATCTTTTCCTTTAAAGGTCCAGTGCGGAATATTTTTCTAGGTGATGTACTGGCAAAAATGGAATATAATATGGTATGTTTTCCTTACTGTATAATCACCTGAAAATAAGAATTGTGTTTTTGTTAGCTTATAATGCGCCGTTTACACCTACATAGGTACATACATACATGTTCTCCTGAACAATGAACACTGAAGAAATTCTAACCAGGAGAAGTTTTAGCTGGTTGCAATCTGCAATCCTCACCACTAGATGCCACTAAAGTCCTCTAAATCTTTCACAATGGACCTTTAAAGGTGGAAAAAATATGTCTACACCATCAAATACAACAGAAAGGCTCTGGATGATGAGGTGTTTTGTATTTTGTAAACATTGGTATTAAGGATAGTGTTCTAAATATAAGTCCCCTGACTACTACTGCTAATAATCCAGAGAAGAGGAATTAAATTTCTTACAGCATGTGGAGCCTCCTCTGATAGACGCTCAAGAAGAAACCATGTTTTATTTCTATAAATGTATCAATAATGCTCAAACAATGATGTGTTGACCTGAGCAGCTGTAGCACAGTGGTAAACACAGTTCTGATGGATGGTTTTCAAGTGTTTGATGATGTGCCCAGAGCTGATGACCCAGCCGACCTGACAAGAAGAACCACACCATTATTATGTGGACATAAAACGGATACATTACTGAAATACGATATGAGTCTGTGCATTACCTTCCAGCCAGTAGCACTGAAGGTCTTTCCTCCACTGCCAATAGTGATTGTTCGTTCCCACATGCCGGGAAGACTGGCTGTCAATAGATTAATATAATTAATTTAACTTATATTGTGCAGCTTTATCCTTTGTGTGCATTCTGTTCAGCTCACCTATCTTTACATGCTTGTTTCCATCATAAGTCAGCCACTCGTACACCTCATCACTGATGCACAGCGCATCATGTTTGATACACAGATCAGCAATCATTTGCAGCTCTTCAGTCTTGTAAACCTGTAAAGGACATAAATGTGTGAAACATGTTCATGTGCAAGAACAAATTTTATTCAGCAGGCTCTAAAAGGAGACTCCTCACTGGTAAATGTCTTACCTTGCCCAGTGGGTTATTGGGAGTGTTGATAACGATGGCTTTTGTGCGTGGAGTGAATTTACTGGCCAGCTCCTCAGCAGAAAGAACCCAGTCTGCACTTGACAGGACGGTGCTTCCCTCAACTTTCTTAAATTTAACACAAGGAAATAAAAGCTGATATAAACTTTTAAAAGTACATGTACACAAATTGTTCAAAGATGCTCTGTAGCTATTATGTAAAAATGTAGAAACCACTCACTGGCCTGAGAGGTACATAGACTGCCTTTCCTCCAACCATCTTCACCATTGGCTGGTAGCAGTCAAAGAATGGTTCAACAATTATGACCTGAAATACAAATTTCTGTCAGTTATTTTTCAAACATTAAAACCCACAAAAATGGGTAACTGAAGTTATAGTATTTTTACACACATTACAGTTACGCACTTAGCACCATGTGGACTTTTATCACACCGTTAACCACACATACACTATATTCAAACTTGTTTGAACATGTTTGCTGCTGTTACGTTTTCCTAATTATTGCTGAACTGTACAACATTTTGACTGGATTTGAGTTGACTTTCGTACCTCATCCCCTTCATCAATCAGAGCTTGAAATGCACAGAAGAGAGCCTGATAAGCTCCAACTGTGACCAGGACGTCTTCAAGAGGATTAATCTCATGTCCCACAATCCTACTGAAGAATTTAGCAAGATTTTTTACAAGAGGAGGATGGCCCTGAGGAGAGAAAGGAAATGTAAACATAAGGTGGCTGTCACTGTTTTTTCTGCAAACATTTATACTTTCAATACCTGGTCAAAAATGACTGAAACCATCAGCCAGCAGGGGTTGTAGCCGATTCCGTGGTCTGTCCAGGGACCATGGTCTCTGGCACGGACCAGTGGTCACCACCACTAGGGGCGCTAGAGACACTGGTCGCGACCAGCTCATCAGTGGTCAGGACCAGCTGGTCTCTTTAGGTATCTCATTTTCATGTTGCGCCAGGGTTTCCCCTAGGCCCTGGTCGTAACAATTAATTATGAAGATCCCTGTGGTCAGGACCAGGTGGTCCCTGGCACGGACCAGTGGTCCCTACCACTAGGGGCGCTAAAGTTACTTGTGCTGACCAGCTGCACTGTGATCTGCCCTGTGGTCTGTGAAGTGACTTTAGTATTTTCTCCCCTTTCCAGTCGTTTAGGCAGCACTGTTAGCTGGATAAATGTCAAAGATCATAATATTTTGTCTATAAAATACACTGGTCCCTACCACTAGGGGCGCTAAAGTTACTGGTTCTGACCAGCTGCACTGTGATCTGTTTCAATGAGAAACACGTAAGTAATATTTTTTTAAAAGTGGTCATTTTGTCAGAGTGTATGAACGACTGTTTATTTACCCTTACTATGTCCAACAGATGAATGACCTCATCAATCTGATAAAGCCAACGCTGTCATTGGATTACAGCCTCCTCAAAAACATTGATTTTGTCATTGATGTCATGGTGCCAGAGGTAAGTTCCAATTTTAGTTGACCAAAGACATAAAGGTATCCATTACTGTAACAGTTCTACCATTCTAACAGAATTGAGCTTGAGCTCACTGTTAGTTGATCACCCATAAATATAATTACATCTGTTAATTTAACATTAATAAAGCTGTTAATGTGTCCTCTTCCTTGTGTTTTTTTTCCCCCTGTGTTGTCCTGAACTAAAATGTTTTCTTTTATGCAGACCACAATTGACATCCTGGTGAGACTAGAAGGTTTTTCAAGATTTTATGCCGAGAAAATCCTCGGAACGATCATCGAGTGATCAGGTGCTGGATCAATCAAGATTTGACTGTTACTTTTGTTACTGTACTGTGGGCTACTTGTGTTGAATTTTTCATTAACTTTTACATTTTTGTATTTCCATTTGATGTTCTTTTGTGTGATGACCCCTGCTGTTGAGGCAGCAGCCTCCTGATGTGACTTGGGTTTGTGGGAGGAGTTCTGGTGTATCAGGGGCACCTGGGCCCAGTGTCCTGAGATTATAAAACCCATGATTCATTCATTGTCTCTCTCTCTTCTCCAGCAGACGTCCCATGGGGTGATGTGGCAGCTGCAGTTTAGTTCCTTATGCTCAGTTCATGCATTCATACAACATACATTACATCTTACACACATGCACATCGTACACTTCTGATAGTACTGATGTTCACATCCCATTTATTCATTATTTTCCTTGTTTCACATTTTGTTCCTTTTGTTAATAAATCTACTTTGTTACACCTCCTTAATTCAGTGTGTCTCCCGTCCTGTCATGGCCCAAAGAGCCAGGTTGTGACGCTTTGTCACTCAACTCTACATTTTTTTCCTCCACTACATTTATTTGACATTAGTTTCTAGATCAAGATTTGATACAAAGGGTAATGTCACAAGCTTTTAAAATGCAACACATTGGTAAAGTTTAAACCAGTCAGGAAGACACAGACCTGCATAATCGATAGTATTACTCATACAACTATGACTAATAATTTAATCATTCTTATTATGACCTCTATTAATAGTGATAACATTGGATAGACAAATGATTATGGCTTCTCACATTTAGGCTATTCTGCTAACACAGTAAGAAAAGGGAAAATTTGTATTAAAAACAAACACTCCACAGATCACTCAACTGGTCCAAACAACAGAACAGATCACAGAGCAGCTGGTCAGGACCAGTAACTTTAGCGCCCCTAGTGGTAGGGACCAC